ACGTCCATGATAGGAGCAAATATGTCATTTCTATTGAATTGTTACATAGTTATGCAGCCAGAAACACGAGCACAATAGGCGTGGTAACGACATTACGCCTAGCATAAAGTCTTTTCCCAAAAGTGGTGTCGAGATCGCGGAGTGGCTCATCACTGCCACGCAAAGCACTTGGCTTCGATTATTACTGATATTTTTTTATACTGTGCATTCGTGTAGGGTCCACATTTCCGATATGTTTTCCCCATGCTCTCGCACATAAATCACCAATATATGTTCTAGTTTTTCCTGGTATAACAAAGTGTGAATCACCTGTGCCGCATACCCGTATATCACGGCCCGAGGTGCACGACCCTGTCCAACAAATTTCTGGAAAAAAGTGACCATGTAAGCGACATTACTTTCAGCTTTGGTTTTCACGCTTTTAATCATACAGGGCAAGACTGCACACACCACTAACACCGAGCACAGACTAACCACGGTTAGTCTGCGCTTTGTGTTTGTGGTGTGTCCAGCTCGTCGCTGTGCGAGTAAGAGCGCGTTTTGCCAAGATGCAACACAACTGTGCCTGCTCTTATCAGGACTTTTACGTAATTCATATTATGACGAGCCAGACATATCCATCAAGCCCTCTTATTCTCTCCTACCATTCTTGATTGATTGACTATGTGGGGTTGAACGTCCCAAAACCACCATATATTCATGAGAGACGCAGTAGTGGAATGCTCCGGAAATTTCGACAACCTGGGATTCTTCAACCTGCACTCAATTGCGATCCCGTGACCTGCGGGTCAGCAGCCGAGCCTGTACTATCTTCGTCCGCAAACACACACACACACACACGCATATATATATATATATATATATAAATATATATATATATATATATATATATATATATATATATATATATATATATATATATATATATATATATATATATATATATATATATATATATAGGTAGATAGATAGATTTGTATATAAATATAATTGAAGCGCCTTTGCATTGTTCAGAATTGCTTTGTATTGAATTGATAAAAAATTAGCTCTAATGGTGTTTCTCAAATCCATAGTACTGCCTCGTCATCACTATCTTCATGCCGTACACAAACCAAAACGCTAAAGTTCTAGCGTTCAGGAGATGGCTAGTCATTGCGGACAACATTTGCATACGTTTCTTTTCACACGTATAGGACATGAGTGAGCGAGTGACGCCACGATGAAATTGTGTATCATGCGAAAATGTTCTGATTATTTGACTGAGAAACTTGTGTGAAAGTTTCACTGTCACATAACACGCTTGATTTGCAAATGATTTTACCTCCAGACGGTGAAAAGAAAAAGGTAAATTGAGAGGCATGCAGAACAGCGATGCCCAATTTCGTTCGGGCACAGCCACATTCTACCACGGGCACGGACAGTCCATATCAGCCCCACTGAAACGTGAGCTTGCTAAGAAACGCAACAATATTTAGAAGCAGTGCAGACATGCCGACACCCTACCAAATGGTGAAGAGGGCCCAAATCAGCAATACTTGTTTATTTATTTATTTATTTATTTCAATTCCCTAAGCACCTGGAGGACATTACATAGGGGGTATTTATAAGGAATTAAATACGATCACATTTCAGTCATACAGAAATTCGAAAACAAAAACTTGAAAATTTAACGGAGAAACAGTAACAAAAATAAGCAATATACACTATTACTGATAGTTTGTAGAATGTTATTAGGCAAATAAAACTTTCTTCGTGACACAGCAAAGTTAATGGTTTTAAGTGGTTTTACTTGTAACGTGAAGTCAAAACAGTTAGGAACGCGCACAAAATAAACACAATTGGACCAGGCGTAGTAGCAAGAAATAAGAATCTCGTTACAGCAAAAACGTTGTTCAAGGAAGAAAACAAAGAACTGGCCTTCGAAGTTGCGTGGGTAAAGACTACATTTTTTCACGTTTGGCTATCGATTGGCGACACGGATAACATACGTAGACCGAATAATACGCACAGACTGCATACATATGCGCATTTCGACTCTGCCTAAGAACATAGTAACCGATTGGCATTTTCCTTTATTCGTTCGCGCTGTTTCACTTGTGCAGCAAGGGTCTTGTTATGTGGTGTATACTGGGTGAAGAGAACTTCTTCTGCTTATTGGAATAGTTAAAGCTTGCGAAAAAAGTATACCGGGAACAAAGTGAATATTAATTTTGCCTGGTGGTCCCCCTTTCTTCGGAAGTAAAGAGAAAATATTTTTTTCTTTATTTATATATAAGTGTTTTTAAAAGTTTTCACACACACGTGTGTGTGTGCCAGCTTCACCTTTTTTGGAAAGAAAGCGTTGGTTAGGCCTATTCGGTTACCTGAAGCTGTCAGCATTGTGCTGTAATTGGTGTTACACTACCGGTTGCGTTCAAGCGCACTAACAAACATTGTATGGGCTGAAGGTCCTGAAACCGCAGTATAGTTTTGAAGGACGTCAAGTCAGCATGCAGTCGAGTGCCATGAGCACGAAAACACTGTGGCAGATTGTAGAAATGCTCTGTATTTTATTGATAGACAAATATGTCTGCGGTGCTCGAGCTAGATCGTACACGCTGCAGGAACGAACAGTAATGACTTTGAGTGCAAGAACTCACCTTATTTCATGTTAGCAGCAAAGAAATAGAGTTTTCTGGGTGGCAGTCGTTAACAAGCGTACTACAACGCGTGCTCTTTTAGTGCTCAGTTGAATAATATAGTTAATTTTTACTTTGCTAGTTCGGGCACGTCAAACAATTAAGAGGCCTCTTGCTGTGTCTCGGTCTAAAGACAAAGGCATTGCTTATACTTCCACACTTCTATTCTCTAGGTAGCTTTCAATGAACGCTCACATAGTGATCGCCATTTTGTTAACACACATTGCGCTTTTCGTTTTTATTCGTGGAACAAACTTCATTTTGATATGTATTCTATAGTTTAATATTTTTCTTTATACGGTTCTCTCTACTTTGCTGCTAACGTAAGGTGTTCATTTTTTTGCCGCCGCCGTGTTTTACTTCTGCAGGCACCAATTCACTTTGGCATAACTGATGCTATAGAACCAGAAATAGCATAACGGTGCTCTTTTTGCTATCGTTATTATTATTACAAATAATAAATTCTAGCTTCCACGTAATGCCAGTGTCATTTGCGTGTCTTCTGTGCTAAAGTTGTGCTTGAATGAGGCCTAACTTTTTAGTCCAGACGAGCCTCACCACACTTAAAAGCTTTCAAAAAACGCCCAGAAAACACGTATTTCGTTCTTGTGTGGAGGATGAGAACGCATACTGTAAATAATAGAAATCATCAGTATACAAGTACCTGATACTGGGAATCTTTATTTGGTCTTCAAAGTGACCGCAAAATGAGAGGAAATGTTTGACGGGAGCCAATTTTAATAAAGTTGTGCAACTTTATGAGAAGCGTACCGAAACACTCTGTTGACCCATTGGATTTAAAATATCGCATTCTGTATTTCTGGTAGCTTTGTTGCACGAAAGAGTCATATAAACAATTTGCAGATAGCTTGTGAAGAAACACCATTTGCATCAGCATAAAATGATGAAGCTTTCAAATTAATTTGTTCAAGACTATGATGACAGTATTCAGAAAATTGTCAAATTCAGTAACTGTTCAACTCGGTTACACACCGCCACCCAACCACGGCTGATGATGTGGATGAATTGAAAAAAGGGCGAAGTTATGGATTACGGACAGTGCCCTGAAGACACCTTGTGGTAATTATGACAAAGTCGCTGTCAGTTTGAGAGTCTGTAAAATGCGTCGTATTTTTAAAGCCAGTTGGCAAAGCACAACACAGCTGTGCATATTCTAAATCACCGTGCGCTTTCGGAACTATCTCAAAAAAAATTTTCCGTTAGTTAAATTGCGCATCAGCTGAAAGGCATAGTGCAGAAAGAGAAATATCAAATTGCCAATAAAAAATTATTAATCTGCGCGAGCGATAACAGGCTCAAAATGCGTTATACCTTCAGTGTGTGTAACCACCACTCCTGTATGAATCCAATGTGTTTCCAGCTTCTTCTATTTTATCGCCATGGGACCGTCCCCTGTAACCGCTGTCGTGAACACCTTCACTAGGTGCTGGATGATACTACGTGAGCATACTACGTACATTAGCCTATAACACTACAAAATAGATTTTAAACAAAAGTAGACAGTCATTTAAATCATGTGTGTTTTTAAAGACGGCTGCGTGCCTTATGCCAGACCAGTAAGATCAGTTTAGCAAGGCAATGCGAAATGAAATGTATTGTTTTGAACATGGTCTTGGGGTTGTGGAGTGGAGCCATTATTTCAGCCTATGCGCAAATAATTGATGCACTCAGTGATGACGATGCAAAGAGGATAAATTGACAAAAGATAGGTTCGTGAGAAGCACGCGGTAGGGTAAACAGCGATAGAGGGGCGATTGAGACGTGCTTTTGAGTGCATGAAAGAACCTGAAGACGTGGGACACACTTTTTGCGTCCTTGTCTTGTCGTGCACTAGAAGCTGCGTCATGCGATACGCCCAGATCACAACATCAGCTTTAAAAGATAATTGTGTGCTGGTGCGATGAGTGTGTAGATGCCTTCTCATTTGTCACGGCATATACAAAACCATCGCAGCTGGAACCTTCCGGATGGTGAGACGCATTCCTCTGTGCTGTCACAACGAACCGTCGTGAGGCCGTCAGGTTGGCGGACGAGTCGCGCAACCTCGTTCAAGTGTTGCCTGCATTGCCAATTCCGCTGAATGAGCACAAGCCCTTAAAATTCGCCTATGACGTATCACAGCAACAGCTGAAAACCTGCAGCAGTTCTTCGAAAAAGCAGTGACTTAACGCAAGTTTTGTTTCAGTTTATAGTGTTAGCATAGGGCTATGAAAGTGCGCCTGTCTTGAAGAGCTTCCCCATCCGTATATTGCCATCGATTTAAGCAACGCTCGAGGACCCACGGTTCAGGACACCACTCACCAGCGACGAACAGCAGGCAGGCGAGGAGCCGCATCCTGCAAAGGGTCTTCGTGTGGGGCACAAAAACACTCAGCTGCGGAGGTCGCCGAGGCAGGAGTAATCCAGGGAGCCTGCACTCATGGCGGCAGCGTGCTCGGCGAATGGGCCGCTTCTGGCGGCCGAAGAAGCAGCCGCCGATCGAGGCCACCAAGCAACCGGTTTGCGCGCCGCCGGAGAAAGTGCCCAGATGATCCGCCGGCAGCGCTTGCGTTGTTCCCCCATTGTGGCGGCGCGTCGCCTTGCACCTTTGTGCCATCGCCACGAGACAAAACAGCTAAGCTCACTCGCTTTTGTGCACTACTCTGAATGGTAGAACAGCCACTTTAGACTGCTGCTGGCGACTGGTCTCGGCGTACCTTAGTCAACAGCTTTGGCAGTAGTGTGCGCACACAAGTGATACACCGGTCGTTGCGAATCAGGAGTTCGTAAGGGTCCCAAGCACGTGAAAAATTAGAGTTATTCTGAAGAATTCACTGCACAATAAATGTCATTGCACGTTTGAGCACATGCGTTCCACTGTTGGAACTCTACAATCGGTCAACGCACGCGGAACATGAGATAAACACCGGTTTAATGAACCTCTCTCAAAGTCCGTACGCCAGGAAGACAGGGAGCCATGGCTATCAAAGGCCGAGGAAGTCAAATACACTCCAAGCTTAACAGCAATGCTTTTCTTGGTTCTCCGTAGATGCAATTGGGATTTACCCCCAGTGAATTCAACAACGGATATCCTTCAGGACACTTCACGCCAGCAGCTTCACTCTTGTTACTTCTTTTGTGTGCGTGTGTGTGTTTGCGTTCGCGTTCTCTGAAGTGTGCAGTACATGCGCATTGTCAGTGCGATTTCTTAGTGTATTGGCCGTATCGATGCAGAAACGCTATTAAACTTAAATTTGCTGCTTACCTGGCACAAGGGTTTTTTTCATATTTTCTCTGCATTTTGAAAGTTCTGTTTTCATTCAGCTCTGAAGGATTTGTGCCCCATATAGCTGCAGTCATATGAATGGCAAGTTGACGTAGCCTTCATGTCCATCGTGTGGAAATAAGATGGACGGAAAATTTTCGATAAGGCGAGCCGGGATGCGAAGGAATTCTTGAAGGTACCAAACAACAAAGACTACTTATCGATAGTCATGTGGAGGAAAAATGCTCCAGTTCTGCAAATTTCCAATTTATAATCGATAGTTAAATCGTGTAGGATGAACTAAAGCTTTAATTTAAGCAAAACTGAGTGTTCAGCTCAAAATCTGTTGACATACAACTGGCACAATAACGTATATATCAGTTTGCTTTCCCGGGCTAGCTACAGTCATGTTACAAAAGCCAGCTGAATCACCCAGATTATAGTTTTTAGGTACATTGAAGATCTGCCTTTGCTCAATGTCGATCAGACTTGACAGACAGTAATTCCAGAGAAAAAATGGGGATGTTCTTAGCAGTGATTGTGATATAATGTGAATAAAGAAGGGATAATTTGTCAGCTGCCATCGCGTAAAAAAATCACGTACTACGTGACGCCAAAAAGGAATGGAAGAGTGTTGCACCGTCGCCGCAATGGCAACAGGTGGCACTGACAGACGCTCCGCGCAGTTAAATGCACTGTAAGAGAATTGCCCACTACTGCCGCGACATTGACACGTTGACGCGGTCTTGAACTTCCTGGTTGCTGCGACGCTGCGCGTATTCCCGGGCAGCTTTTGCTGCGACTGTCCCAACACCGCAACCACTTTTCGCCCTGTGTTTGCATTATATTTTGGTGGAGACTGCTGCGCTTTTTCGCCACCCTGCCATTGCGTAGATGAAACCTGCCGTCTCTCATGCCTGACGACGCTATCTCAACACCCCCTATGGCTTCGCCACCCAGGTGCTGTCTCGGTGCCCAGCTCCTACGAGAGCCTCACCTATTCAGCGGCACCAACGGGAGACACATTGAGGATTGGCTGGAACCCTATGAACGAGCAAGTGCTACCAACAGCTTGGACTATTCCTTGAAGCTCGGAACCGTGATGTTTTACTTAACGTATGGCGCCAAGCTGTAGTATAGAAACCACGAGGTGCATGTTCCTACTTAGACGACCTTCAAGAGCTGCATCGCAGCTGTGTTTGGACGCCCTGGGGTGCGCAAACTTCGCGCAGAACAATGACTACTAAGCCGGCCTCAACGAACTGGTAAGACATTCACGAGCTACATCGAGTACTCTTTGACCTCTGCCAGCTTGCCAAACCGATGATGGCGGAAACTGACAAGGTGCGGCACATCGTGAAAGACGATTTCGATGGGGCCTTTCGAATTCGGCTCTCAAAGAACCCTGCCACTATGTCTTAACTGATCGAGCTGTGTCAGAGTTTCGATGAGCTCCGATGACAGCGTCTTCTCACGCGACGTCCCTAACGTTCCGAGCGCAGCAACTTGAGCTTGGCTACCATCCATGACCTTCAATCACTACTATCGTAGATCAAGGAGTTTGTTTGTGATGAGGTCGCTTGTCAACTTCCGCTGCTATCAACATCTGACCAACCACTTTCACCTCTGTCAGCAAACATTCGCCAGGTCATCTAGGGGCAACTTTGCGCGGCTCTGCCATCTGCCTGTGACACTTCACTGTTGGCGTCCCCTGTTGCCTGTGCTGAGGTGAATGCTCCTCTAGGCTATGCTGAAGCTGCTGCACGGCCGCCTCTTCAGACTTTTGCGTCGCTATTATCAGCCGGGCCACTTGTGGCCTATCGCGTCGCTGTGTGTGTCACCAAATTCGCTAGCGCCACCAGCGCCATTTCTCTTCCTCAGTCATAGACTGATTGAATAAGCTGTTCTTTTGTTGTGAGCAATCTACACATCCCGTTGACTGCACTTTAGCTCGTACAGCGTCCCACATGGTGTGCGATGACCCGACAAAGCATAAGCCTAACTTTGTTGGCCTAACCAGAGGCCTTAGGCGGAGAGCTACGCACTTGTGCGGCCTGACCTTGGCTACGACATCAATAGGAACTGTTACAGCTTTGTTCCCAGCACCGAAGCCCCTGAATGCGATGCAAGATCGTTGAGTAGCGTGAAAACTTTGGGAGAGTGATCACAAGCTCTACGTCACTGCGACTGGACTCTCCGGTAAGGCGAAAGAAGATCAAGCAGCAACCTTCCTCGTCTTCATTGCAGAAGGGGGACGAAGAAATGACCGCACGTTTAACTTTGCAGCATAAGTGTGCCATAATGACGTAGGTAAGCTGTTAAAAAATTTTGAAGAACACTGCAAGCCTGTCGTCAACCTCCCGTACCATGGTTTTCTTTGCGGTAAGAGAGATCAAAAGCTGGGAGATCGTTTCGATGAGTGGCACGCAGAACTCCTAGCACTCGTTTTAACTGCGAGTACGGGTATCCTGAGGAGAGTATATGTGGGAAAGTCCCTTCCTTTTACGTATGAAAGACAAGCGTCTACACAGGCAGTTGATCAACGACAACCCAGACTTTTGGAAGTTCGTCGAAATTTGTCGCACGAAACAACGAAGCAAGGAGCAAATCGTAGAGATGCAGAGACAACGCAAGTAGGTCACGGCAATGCTGACAGATGCCCGGACTGCCCAGAAGAGGTCAACCTAATCTAAAACGTCAAAACATGCACGAAATGTGGATACGCGTTCCACAATAACAGTCGTGCCCCGCAGAAGGCAAGAAAAAGAAATAGTGCAAGAAGTGCAGGAAGCGCAACCATTTGCGAGAGTCTGTCAGTTAAAGAAGTCCAGCAAGAAACCGACACAAACGAAGACCCGAAATTTTGATACCTTAAAGTGCGGAGAAAACTCCTTTCTTCGCTGTCTCGCAAACGAGTGGAGCTTGGAAGGCCAAAATTCAGATTGAGAGCAAGCCAGCGAACTGTTCAGTGATGTCGCTCAAGCAACTGAAAGCAGTTAGAAGCACGCAACCGGAAGCAAGCAACACGTTGCTTATCACATTTTTCAGACATAAGAAAAAATCAGTGAGAGTGACCCTACAAGCTACAAGCAAACATGAATCTGTGCAGGCCCATTTTTTAGTTGTGCAAGAACGCTTGCCAACAACTCTCAGTGGCGAACTGTCTCGAAAGCTAGGACTCATTGAACTTGTGGCCACACTCACACTTGAAGAGAAGAAACTTTGTGAAGAGGCAAAACCATTTGCTCACACATTCAAAGGCCTCGGTGAGCTACGTGGTGCGGTGTGGATGAACATTCACAAGGGATTTAAAGGCGTAGTCAAGCCCGCCCGCAGCGTTGCTCTAGCGCTCTGTGGAAAGATCAAGGCCGCACTATACAGAAGGCAAATGGAGTCCTTGCGCCTGTCCCCGAACCGACTGAATTGGCAAGTCGTATGGTAGTTGTGGTAAGAAAGACACGATAAGGAATTGCTTGGATCCTGTCGACCTTATCAAGGCACTCAAGCAAGAGCACTATCAAATGCCAACGCTTGAGAACGTCGTGACCAAGACAGACTTGGCCACGTACTCCTCTACGCTGGACGCTGCTACTGAATTTTGAAAAATGTAGCTTGACAGGGTAGCGTCCTGGGCCCTTCTTGTTCTCAATTTTCATCAAAGACATTAGTACTAACGTCACTTCCAGTGTAAGGCTTTTGGCTGATGACTGTGTTGTTTATTGGGCTCTAAAATCTGCAGACGACCATCGCATCCTTCAACGCGGTCTTAACGCAATGAATTGTTGGTGTGATAAATAGCTCATGACCATTAACTCACTTAAGAGCAAGGTAGTATCATTCAGTCAAAAGCGCTCTACATCTAACTTTCCCTATTACATAAAGAGTGCAGAATTGCTTCGTCCTTCATCATACACTTATTTAGGGATAAATTCAACTTCCACCCTCTTTTTGAAAGAGCATATACCTCTTTGCAAAGGCATTCAAAACACTTGAGTGTCTACGCCGTAACATGCGTCATACCAACCCCAGCCCATGTAAAACAGCTTATCAAACATTCGTTCACACACAGCTGGAATTAGCTACAGCGGTGTGGTATTCTCATCAGAAGTACCTCACAAAGAAGCTAGAGTCCGTACAAAGTAGAGCTGCTCAGTTTATTTCATCTAGCTACAATTTCAGTGTTCATAATCGTAAGCAAGAACTTGATCTACAGCCATCAGAAG